GGATGAAAGAACGAAAGAAGTATTGTTACCTTAGAAATGGAAGCAAGAACAAATTCCGACGAAAGAAGAACGGCAGACAAAATTAATGGACTATGCAGAATTAGATAAAATGACAGGAAGGATTCAAAACCTGCGGGACCAGAGATTCACAGAAGACTGGAAAAAATATACCAACTATTTGAAGAGCAACTGTAATCAACAAATTGCGCTAGTAGGACTACAAGAAGGGACGCGGGTGGCGCTGTGGGTAAAACCTCAGCGCCTAGGGCTTGCCGATCGAAAGGTCGGCGGTTCGAATCCCCGCGGCGGGGTGCTCTCCCGTTGCTCGGTCCCAGCGCCTGCCAACCTAGCAGTTCGAAAGCACCCCTGGGTGCAAGTAGATAAATAGGGACCGCTTACTAGCGGGGAAGGTAAACGGCGTTTCCGTGTGCGGCTCTGGCTCGCCAGATGCAGCGATGTCACGCTGGCCACGTGACCCGGAAGTGTCTTCGGACAGCGCTGGCCCCCGGCCTATAGAGTGAGATGGGCGCACAACCCTAGAGTCTGTGAAGACTGGCCCGTACGGGCAGGGGTACCTTTACCTTTACCTTTAGGACTACAAGAAGTTTTGCAAGGAGGAATATATGAAACATTGCCAAAATAGAGAAAGATGAAGAGATATTAGTTATGAGATTTAAATGTAATAGCGAAGTAAGAAATGTATGTTAATGATTGATTGGAAATTTCAGATGTGATTAATGAGAGTTCAAAATTGTAAGGATAGTAATGTAGAAAATTTTCAGATGTGATAATGGAAGTCAAAAAAATTGTATAAGGTGTAAAAGTATGTTTAATTAGGCTGTGGATATAGGCTGTAGGGTTAGAAGTAGAAGATAGTGTATTTTAAAATAATATTATTTGTAAGTGATAAAATGTGAACTTATTTTAAATGTGATAAAAAAAAAGATGGTTGGAACTATGATATATGTAAACTGCTAAAGATGAAGTAAAATGAAAATCAGATAGGTGGGACTTGGGGAAGCCCACTTAACAATGTTTAGAAAAAATAAGGATAAGACAAGAATTTGTTTGTATTGTTTGTTTTTTTGTTTACTTGTGTTATAAAATGAATAAAAAAAAATTGGGGAAAAAATTGTTATACATAATTTTCCCGTAAAAAAACACCTCGTCTTGTACACTGAAAAATACGGTGCATTTCTCGAGTTGCTCTAAAACAACTTTCAGCATACGATTCCTCGTCGCGCTCTCTCTTTCTGTCGCACACAGCGCTTGACAAACGTCCAAATCTGCTGAAGTGGTTGGAGGAAACAGGCGAGATAGACAAAGGGGTCCCTTGGCATTCTCCGTGGCGATGCAGCGCCTCTTGGCTTCGCTGAGTTTGGGGTTGGTATCCTGCCCTGCCTTGAGCCACGGCCTGAATGGCAAGTGAAAATTGGTTTGCAGCAGACGTCACCTGCTTCGTTGACCAAGGAAAAAGGTCTCATAAGGACAGGCTACACATTACAAGCAAAACCATGCCACAGAGAGGCCCGGCAGAATGACCTCAATTCATGTTTTTCTTATTTATTTATTTTTTTCCTTCAATTTTTTTTCTTCATTTTATAACACAAATAAAGAACACAAACAGCAAAACAAACAAATTCTTCTCATATCCTTGTTTTTCTAAACACTGTTAAGTGGGCTTCCCCAAGTCCCGCCTATCTGATTTTCATTTTACTTCGTCTTTAGTAGTTTGCATATATCATAGTTTCTAACCATCTTTTTTAAAAAATCACATTTAAAATAACTTCACATTTTATCGCTTACAGGTAATATTATTTTTAAAATACACTATCTTCTACTTCTAACCTGACAGCCTATATCCACTTCCAAAGCTATTCTAAGATTTAAATATTAACTTAAATATTAACTTAAATATTAAATTAAATATTAAATATTAACATTTCCACACTGGCTCTGGAAACATCATCTGAATTGCCCTCACTGTGCTGGTGGTTGAAGTTTTAAAACAACACAGTTGCTGCCCTCTACTGGAAAGCACCTTCTGACCAACACAAACAGAAGACCTTCCTCATAATTACCGTATTTTTTGCTCTATAAGACTCACTTTTTCCCTCCTAAAAAGTAAGGGGAAATGTGTGCGCATCTTATGGAGCGAATGCAGGCTGTGCAGCTATCCCAGAAGCCAGAACAGTAAGAGGGATTGCTGCTTTCACTGTGCAGCGATCCCTCTTGCTGTTCTGGCTTCTGAGATTCAGAATATTTCTTTTCTTGTTTTCCTCCTCCAAAAACTAGGTGCGTCTTGTGGTCTGGTGCGTCTTATAGAGCGAAAAATACGGTATCTGTTTCTCTGAATCCCTTCTCAGACTCTGAATTATTTGATTATAATCTTGTGGATTTGTGGCCGAGGCGAGTTTTGAACCAGGGCCTTTAGACTTGAGACACATGGCCACTTTTGCTAGCTCATCTAATTCTTTTTTAAAAGATCGTAGCTATTTACAACGTAGTAATACCACCCACATGCTTGGTACCCGAAAGACCGAAATCGGCAAAAGGCAGGCCCAGTACGCCATTTTGGATTTTGACTGGGAGAGGAAGAGGCAAAAGGGAACTGAAAATGCAGCTGGATTTGGGGTCAGAAATACATGTAACAATACAAGCACAGGGTTCTCAGCTCCATAACACTAATTGGGGGCAGAGAACTGGCAGACAGGATTAATAGCCATTAATAGGGGGGAAAGAATGTGAAAATGAAGGTCAAAAACCAAAAAAGGAGTGGTCTGAGACCTTCTCACAGCATTTGTATATAAAACCAATCATATGTGTGTTCGTGTATATATAAGGTAAAGGGACCCCTGACCATTAGGTTCAGTCGTGGCCAACTCCGGGGTTGCGGCGCTCATCTCGCTTTATTGGCCAAGGGAGCCGGCGTACAGCTTCCGGGTCATGTGGCCAGCATAACTAAGCCGCTTCTGGTGAACCAGAGCAGCGCATGGAAACGCCGTTTACCTTCCCACCAGAGCAGTACCTATTTATCTACTTGCACTTTGACGTGCTTTCGAACTGCTAGGTTGGCAGGAGCAGGGACCGAGCAACGGGAGCTCACCCGTCATGGGGATTCGAACCGCCGACCTTCTGATCGGCAGGTCTTAGGCCCTGTGGTTTAACCCAAGGTGCTACCCGCATCCCATATATATATTACTTGCAGTTTAATCAAGAGACGCTTGTTACCATCAAAACCTAATAGAAAGGCGGTGTTGGTTATAATAATATGTTTAATAAAAGCAGTCATTGGGTTAGATTTATACTGTGTCGATCAATATCATTCAGAACACCATGATAAAGCCGAGGATTTTACAGATTTGAAATTCCAGTTTGCTCACAGCTGTAAGGTTACATTTATTAGTTGCGAACAACAGGATAGCAACATTTATTGACACATATGGGCAGGTTGCTGCAAAATCAGCAGCTGCAGGTCTGCTGCCTTTTTAAAACATTTTGTCTTTTGGGTTTTTAATTCCATTCTAAAGACTTCTTTTTAACTTATTGATGTTTCAACACTGCTTCACATCATGGCCTGCCAACAGACAACAATTCAAACTAGACTGTTTCCTGGCTTAGGAAAAGAGGGAGCAGGCCTGGAAAGCTAGAAGATAATAGCTGTTGCCCAACCAGAGATTTGAAGAAGGCTGACTTAATTGCAGCTCATTATTGAGTTGAATTTTTGGCTGGTGATTACAAGCATAGAACAGGATATAACCAGCATTGCCGGGCCACTAAGAGATCCATTTTCCTCCTGGAGGGAGGCAAGTGATCTCCCAACTTCATGATGAGGTCCTCTCATCCTCTCCAATCTTTGAGCCGGACAGGAAGCCAGGGGCTTCCTTTCAGATAGAGTTCGGTATGGTGTCACAATCAAGAACTGCCCCACTCAGGGGAGGCTCAGAACTCGTGGCAATGACAAATTTTGGCTCGCTGCCAGGGGGAATTTGAAGGTATGGAGGACCTTGCTGCACTGCTAAGGGTTCAGCATTCTGTGAACGTGGGTGGCGCTGTGGTCTAAACCACTGAGCCTCTTGGGCTTGCCGATCGGAAGGTTGGTGGTTCGAATCCCAACAGAGTGAGCTCCCGTTGCTCTGTCCCAGCTTCTGCCAACCTAGAAGTCGAAAGCATGCCAGTGCAAGTAGATGAATAGGCAGGAAGGTAAACGGCGTTTCCGTGTGCTCTGGTTTCCGTCACGGTGTCCTGTTGTGCCAGAAGCGGTTTAGTCATGCTGGCCACAGCACCCAGAAAGCTGTCTGTGGACAAATGCCGGCTGCCTCGGCCTGAAAGCGAGATGAGCGCCGCAATCCCATAGTCACCTTTGACTGGACTTAACCGTCCAGGGCTCCTTTACCTTTTTATTCTGTGTTTTCCAAACAAGCTACCAAAGAAAATTGTGTTTTGCTTTGGCAATTGCAGAAAGAGAGAGAGAGAGAGAGAGAGAGAGAGAGAGAGAGAGAGAGAATTCAAGATGCTGTAATGCCACCCAGAGTGAAAAGAAGTGGAAGTTTTAGAATTTAATGTTAGGTAATAAATCATCAATGGGACGTGGGTGGCGCTGTCGTCTAAACCACAGAGCCTAGGGCTTCCGATTGGAAGGTCGGCAGTTCGAATCCCCGCGATGGGGTGAGCTCCCGTTGTTCGGTCCCAGCTCCTGCCAACCTAGCAGTTCGGAAGCACACCAAAAAGTGCAAGTAGATAAATAGGTACCGCTCCAGCGGAAAGGTAAACGGCGTTTCCGTGCGCTGCTCTGGTTCGCCAGAAGTGGCTCAGTCATGCTGGCCACATGACCTGGAAAAACTGTGGACAAACGCCGGCTCCCTCGGCCAGTAAAACGAGATGAGTGCCACAACCCCAGAGTCGTCTGTGACTGGACTTAACGGTCAGGGGTACCTTTACCTTTAATAAATCATCATCATCATCATTTTCATTATAATCATCATAATTTTATTATTTATACCACACCCATCTGACTGGGTTTCCCCAGCCACTCTGGGGAGCTTAAAGCATATACAAAAACATAGCAAAGCATCAAACATTAAAAACTAAATAAAGATTAAACTATTTACAATCTGCTATTTAAGACTCACATCATAAGGGTTAATCTTCCACCACAATTGATTCTAATTCAGAGCTAAGAGAGGTTGACCACCTATCTCTTAAACAGGCACGGCACCAACACAGGAATATCCCTCACTTTGTTGCTTTGCTTGTTCACAACCCAGAGGAAACTCTGAAGAGGAAACGCTGGACTTCTAAGCCAGAGTACCTTACGTGTTGGGTAGGCTTAGTGAAAAAGGGTTGCATGTTGTGAAAATTTATCAATTGATGGTCATTCTCAAGAGACAAAGAGGAACCGCTTTTGCCACCAACAACCTAATGCACAGCCACACTGGCAGCGTAGAGTTTAACACTGTGCATGAGATTGTGCAAAGTTGTAGTTATTGCAGCGCCATTTCCGAGTGAGGTCTTTCTCTAGGGTACATAAGAACTCTGGACAGGCTTCAATTGACCGCTTCCTAGGGCTTGGGCTTCACCCAGTATTCTTGATACATGGAATAAATGACACCTGGGAGAGAGAGAGAAAAAGGTGTGTTAGATAGGAGGGTTTGAGTTCAAAGCTGTCTTTCTTTGACTGGGAAAAGAGACGGCAACAAAAACTACATCCTTGCTGGAAGACCTATCCCAAACAGTGGGACCAAGGAAGTCAGTTTTAACAGTGTGATATGTTGCGTATTCTTACTATGTGGGATATACATCTTGTAACGTAAAATTAGGGTGGGTGGAGGAGGTCCAGAACACTTTGCCAGGGATCAGTTTGTCTGTTTCTATTTCTGTGTAATGGGTGCAGAGGAACCATCATGGGAAGAAGGCTCAGAGCTTGGGGAGTGATGGTGGGGCAGTGATGAGTGGTCAGAGGGAGCAGAGGGAGAAGACTGGGACTGGAGGAGGAGGTGTTGAAAGCTGAAGAGGGAACGGGGCTTAGTGAGCAGGGGGAATTTGTGGTAGAGAGAAGTCCAAAATCAGAGGCAGAGACGGAAGCAGGAGAGGAGGGAGGCCAAGAGGCAGAGATGAGTCAGGCTTGTGAAGAGTCATGGGTGTTTCCACCTCCTGCTGCAACAAGCTCCACCCCCCTCTGACTCCCAGAATCAGAAGCGGCATGAAAAGGGCAGAGAAGAGCTTGGCTGCACAGAGGCATAGTCTCTGATTGCTTGGGAAAAGCCCTGGAGGGGAGGGAACTTACTGTATTTTTCGCTCTATAAGACACACTTTTTCCCTCCTAAAAAGGGGAAATGTGTGTGCATCTTATGGAGCAAATGCAGGCTGCGCAGCTGTGCAGCGATCCCACTGGCTGTTCTGGCTTCTGGGACTCAGAATATTTTTTTCTTGTTTTCCTCCTCCAAAAACTAGGTGCGTCTTATGGTCTGGTGCGTCTTATAGAGCGAAAAATACGGTAGATGGCTGTGGGAAGGCAGAGACTTTCAGTCTCAGCAGCCGATTCATGGGGCCAGACCTACCAAGGGTGACCTGCTGTGCCAACAGCCAAGTCTGTGAATATCATGTTTTTGCTAATGGAGAGTTAAATCCAACTTTGAACGTTGATCCTCCACCTGATAGAAGGCTCTTGCCACTTAGATCACAGGAAACAGTCTGCACAGCACAAGAGCAGCCCACATCAATCCACCCTCTCAGGTACCTTGGGAAGCTGAAACAAAGGTTTTCAGGGAAAGACTATTTGCCGCTTATCAGATCAAGGCACAGGACTCTCCTGTTTCAGTACTGTCAGGGAACTGACATCAGAGACACGGGAGAAGGAGAGGGTCTCAGATTCTGCAGGTGAAGGTCCTAGCACAAGGGGAGACTCAGCTTGGTGGAAGGGGAAGGAAATACGCGTGACACCAAGAGTCCAGGAGAGCAAGGGGAAGAGGAGGTGGAAGGGCTCCAGGATTCTTCCCTGGAAGTCAGTGAAGAGAGCCCAGGCACTCCGCTACCCACGCCCACCCTGCGCAGGAGACTCCCGCGCAATGAGAGGCGGAGATGATTAGGTGTCAAACAGCTTTTATGCTGGCAGAGGTTTAAGAAACGCCCACAGACAGATTCTGCCAGTGACTGAGGCAGTCAAGCGGAGATGGGCTGTGCAGTCCGAAGGATTTAACCAGACAACCAAGCACCCAAACGGGGTCGGCTTATGCACGAGTAACTCCAAACCACTACAAGTACGTACCGCAGGTCATGGCCCCCACAACGAATCCCTGCGCTGCGACACGCATATGAATCAGGTGGACGGACATTTTGGTGTCCCCTCTGTGCTTCAGCTTGTACAGCCCATAGGCCACCACAGCTGCAAAACCCGAAATGCCTAGAATAGGGGAAGAGAGGGTGAGAAGCGCACTGTAGCTTTTTGAATTCCTTGTTTGCCAGCCATGGAAGATAGGAAGTGCCTACAGAGGGTGGTGAATACAGCACAAGATATTATGGGCTGTCCCATGAATCCAATGGATGAAATAGCGGAAGAACGTTGCCCTAGGAGAGAGAGGAAAATTCTCAGGGATGATTCACACCCTGGCCGGCACTTTCTTGATCTCCTGTCCTCGGGCAGAAGATATAGAAGCAGGATTAGTCGCACCAACAGGGTAAAGAACAGCTTCTGTCCGTGGGCTGTTAGGCTGCTGAATGAAAATATAAGAACAGGGCAATTGACTTTTGGGTTTGGTGGGTGTGCGTCAGTAAACGAGGGGAATTAAGACTAAGAGAGCTGAGTGGGGGTTGCTCGTGTAATCTCACTGTATACAAGTTGTACAAGTGACAACAAAGTATTTCAATTCAATTCAAACTTCAATTCAGTTCTACTGTACTGGGTACAACAAGGAAGCAACATCTCAAGGGAATTTCCTGACTGTATAAGACTTTGTTTATACCCATTGCCTAAGAGGGAAATTGCGTTTCTTCCCTAGATCACAAAAGGAGGGTGATGGCGAAATGTTTCTGTGTCAGAGCAACTTACCAATTGGGACAAACGGAGACTCCCGGGACTTTCTGATCAGCTTTGAGGTTTGGCTGTCGTCCGTCTCGTAGCTAGGGAGAGGATTTTCTGAACCAGATGCCATGTTAACTGCAAGGAAGGAAGTGATAAAAGATGAAAGATACTCGTTCCTAACCTACCTGAAAAAAAATCCAGATTTTCCCCTGAAGAAGATATCATAGAAGGGACCATGGGGGTCATCTAGTCCAACCCCTTGAAATGCAGGAATCTTTTGCCCCATGTGGGGCTCGAACCCGTGACCTTCAGATTAAGAGTCTCACACTCTGCCGACTGCGCTATCCCAGCCACGTTTACTTTCTAATTTTGTTGTAATAAACTACACAAATGCATGAACACTTCACATGGTATTTCAAATCTAGACAGACAGAACAATAATACAAATATTGATACCAGCAACCCAGGAAATAATATCACAGTTCAAAGATACAGTCTAACAAGACAAAAGCATTAAAGGAGAGCAGTGAGGGGGTATGGCTTAGGGAGTTCTAAGGGCCAAATGGAGAGGTGTTGGGGGCCGCCAGGCCTGAGGTTCCTCAGCTCCACTATAGAAGGAACATTATTTTAACCGCTCCCAGTACACTAGGTGAATTATATTCCTGGTACAGAGAAGTTACTTGGACTGTGGGGAAAAGTTTGGAGGAAGAAAGTTGTTTGCAGAACCAAACATGTCCCTCAATCTAATCACACGACACCTGATCCATAGATCTGCTTGCCTAATTCTTCCAGGGATTTGCAAGACCATGGTTACCATAAAAGGTAAAGGGACCCCTGACCATTAGGTCCAGTCGTGGCCGACTCTGGGGTTGCGGCGCTCATCTCGCTTTATTGGCTGAGGGAGCCAGTGTACAGCTTCCGGGTCATGTGGCCAGCATGACTAAGCCGCTTCTGGCGAACCAGAGCAGCACATGGAAACGCCGTTTACCTTCCCGCCGGAGCGGTACCTATTTATCTACTTGCACTTTGATGTGCTTTCGAACTGCTAGGTTGGCAGGAGCAGGGACCGAGCAACAGGAGCTCACCCCGTGGCGGGGATTGGAATCGCCGACCTTCTGATCGGCAAGCCCTAGGCTCTGTGGTTTAACCCACAGCGCCACCCACGTCCGCGTCTATGGTTACCATAAAGGTAAAGGTAAAGGTACCCCTGCCCGTACAGGCCAGTCGTGTCCGACTCTAGGGTTGTGCACCCATCTCACTTAAGAGGCCGGGGGCCAGCGCTGTCCGCAGACACTTCCGGGTCACGTGGCCAGCGTGACAAGCTGCATCTGGCGAGCCAGCGCAGCACACGGAAACGCCGTTTACCTTCCCGCTAGTAAGCAGTCCCTATTTATCTACTTGCACCCGGGGGTGCTTTCAAACTGCTAGGTTGGCAGGCGCTGGGACCGAGCAGCGGGAGCTCACCCCGTCGCAGGGATTTGAACTGCCGACCTTCTGATCGGCAAGCCCTAGGCTCTGTGGTTTAACCCACAGCGCCACCCACGTCCGCGTCTATGGTTACCATAGAAGATACCAAATCTGTGACTATTTTATAGGGATGCCTTATTGCATACCAGGCCCCTTCATCTCAGCCTATCCTCTCACATGGAGAAAGCTTGTGTAGCCCCACGGAGCGCTTGAAAATGGAACGCGAACGTTTGTACGAATGGGGAGGAGCAATATGGCGCCCACAGTATTTAATTCATAAGCGGAAATTGGGCAGAGTTAGTTTCAATACAGTACTAGCTATTAGGTAGGATAAACGAAGCAGGCAGCGCCAGATTTAGGGCAGTTCCCCCGCAGAGGGTGCCGAGCTGAGGGGGCGCAAAATTGAGAAGACCCATAATTGAGAAGATCCATGTGGGGGCGCCCAAATTTTGGGCGCCATATTGCGAAAGATTGCTGGGCTGCAAGGAAAACCGATTGTTGCTGATACCTCGGTCACCTCAGTGCTCAGGGAAGCAGCATGAGAAGAAGATTTTTTTTGGGGGGGGGACACAAGTGAGGTCACGGCAGCAGAGGAGTCAAGGTGAATGTGGAACATCAAGGAGCAAGGGTTCCCAAACTCATCCCCAGTCCCCCCTAAAATAAACATTATCCAGAACAGCATCCTGCACGACCGGCTAAGGAAGATAATAACCCAATAAAATTCAAGGCAGTAGCAATTAATTGCACATTTATTCAAAACCCAGTTGGCATTGTGTATTTAGTTTAATCAATTCAGCAAAATTTGGGAACTTGATTCAGTGGCACCGGCTGTTCGAAGCCACATAGACATTTATACCTTTACTGCCTCACTTTTCTCTCAGTGACCTCCTGGGTCAGGCATGTCTAAAGTCCGTTTCGGGGGCCTAATCCGGCCTGCCGGTCGATTTAATCCGGCCCCCGTGGCAGTATAGGGGTAAAATCCTAAATAAAGATCCCCTGGCAGTTTACAATATGCACCTTGCAATATAAATCTTATTTCTTTATTGATAAGTGGCTGGGAGTGCAACTCCATCGAACGCTTTAGGACTTTTTTTTTCAGCAAACTCTCCCCTTCCTCAAAACAGTTTGCCTGAGGATATAAATGTGCCATCGCACTGGTCTGCTATAGACGGCTTCCCTTCCTATGCATTTCACATAATATAAAACATTTCCCAAGAGGAACGGAGCCAAGCCGTCGCATCGAAGAATGATCTAACGAAAGGATCGTTTAAAAATAATAATACTTTCTTCGGCCAGAAGGTGGCATAAGGAGAAAAGAAGGCTGGACTCTGCCTTTCTTACAACAGCAGCGACTCAAAGAGAAACCCTTCGATTGCGCCATCAAGCGCAGCTGACAAGCGCCTGGAGGGCCGGACACGGGTTCAAATCCGTGCAATGGCCAGGACGCTCCCTGAGCGACCAGGAACACCTCGCCTACCTTGCAGGGCCGTTTTGCGAGGATTAAGGTGCAGATCCCCATGCACGCAGCCTTGAGCAAAGTAGGGCATACGCGTAAAATAGGGATGCAATTAACGGAGTTTCCCCCAGTCAGATAATCCCTGTTTAAAAAGCACTTGCCCGTTCTCTTTAAAAACTGCTTAAAAGGTATTTCTGCCCCCCCTCACTTCTCCTTGGGGTTTGATTTTCCCTTTTGGACCCCAGTCTCACCCCAGCGGTCGTCCCGGTGCTCGGACGACGGAGCTACTGCGCGCAGCGGTTCCCAACCTGCGGGTCCCCAGATGTTGTTGGACTACAACTCCCATCACCCCCGAGCTCTGGCCTTGCTCGCTAGGAGTGATGGGAGTTGTAGTTCAACAACGTCTGGGGACCCACAAGTTGAGAAAGGCTGCTCCTGCCCTTCCCACGCTGAACGATGCAGCGGCTCCAGAAATGAAATGACATGAAATACTTTATTGTCACTTGTGGAAACTACAACTCCCAGAAAGCATTGCGCTGCTACAGAGCTTCCCCCTATTGGTGGGCCGGACGGGGTTTTCCTCCCTCCCCCGCTGCGCTTTTCAAATGTCTATCACTGTATCCTGGCCAATCATAGGGAAGGAACCTAGGCAGCTGCCTTTTTTTCTCTGAATGAAATCGTAGGTCTATGGAGCCCAGTGTTGCCTACACGGACTGGCAGCATCTCTCCAGGCGGTTTTAGGCAGCGAGTCTTTCCCTGCCCTGCCTGGAGATGCCAGCAGGGCATGGCCGCTGGGCTATGGACTTTACCCCGCTCCTCTTCTGGGTTTAAGGAAGGCCAGCTCTGCTGTTTTATTGGAAGTGAAATGTTTATTAAGAAGGTGCAAGCCTTATGTGAGAATAGGAGGCCTGCTCTGCACGTGTAGCGTGAGCTAGTGCCGTGCAAGACCTTGATGGCCAGGGTTCAAAATCCATCCCCGGTTTGTATGCTGTTGGTGGATTATTGTCGTTGTCTTGTTGGGCTGTGTATGTGATAAAGGGGAGCCATACCGGGGTGAAGGCGTCTTCTTCTGTTTGTCTCCGTGTCAGTTTCAGTTTACTGGTTAATTTTTCTAGTAGGGCTGTTTCCTATACTATTTGGTACCATTGGTCCATGCTTACTCCTGACAGGTCAATGCAATTCTGGGCTGCATCAATAGGAGTATAGCATCTAGATCAAGGGAAGTAATAGTGCCACTGTATTCTGCTCTGGTCAGACCTCACCTGGAGTACTGTGTCCAGTTCTGGGCACCACAGTTCAAGAAAGACACTGACAAACTGGAACGTGTCCAGAGGAGGGCAACCAAAATGGTCAAAGGCCTGGAAAGGATGCCTTATGAGGAACGGCTAAGGGAGCTGGGCATGTTTAGCCTGGAGAAGAGGAGGTTAAGGGGTGATATGATAGCCATGTTCAAATATATAAAAGGATGTCATATAGAGGAGGGAGAAAGGTTGTTTTCTGCTGCTCCAGAGAAGCGGACATGGAGCAATGGATCCAAACTACAAGAAAGAAGATTCCACCTAAACATTAGGAAGAACTTCCTGACAGTGAGAGCTGTTCGACAGTGGAATTTGCTGCCAAGGAGTGTGGTGGAGTCTCCTACTTTGGAGGTCTTTAAGCAGAGGCTTGACAACCATATGTCAGGAGTGCTCTGATGGTGTTTCCTGCTTGGCAGGGGGTTGGACTTGATGGCCCTTGTGGTCTCTTCCAACTCTATGATTCTATGATTCTAGGTCTCTCCAGTGTCTGGTTATGGTGTTTCTGGCTGCTGAAAGTAGGTGGGTTGTGAGTTCTTTGTGGTGTACCTGATCCAAAACACCCACCCACCCCACTCACACACGAAAACAAAGATCACCACAGCCAACCACAAACAAACAACCACACCCTAGGGCAACCCCAACCTCTCTCACCACCAAAGGAACACAAGTGAACAGCACAAGCAACGCTGACACCAAACCCCACATACATTAAGCATAACAGAAACATCACCACCCGACCCCCCGACCCCTTCTTTTTTTCCTCTCCCCCTACTGTCTCAACAAATGAAACTGATTTGTAAAAATGTTACATGGAAAAAATATGAGAGACATTACACTTACTTCTGTAAAACAAGAAAATCTTTAATAATTTTTTTTAAAAAAAAAACAACCATCCCCGGTCATTGAACCAAAAAGGATGACCTTAGGCCACTCTCTCTCTCTCTCTCTCTCTCTCTCTCTCTCTCTCCTAACCTACCTCACAGGGTTGTTGTGTGTGGGAGGTGAGGGGGGAGGAGGGAGAACCACATATGTTCCCTTGAGTTTCTTGTAGGGCAGGTAGGATATAAATGTGCTTTGTGATGCAGCAGAGCCACGTTCAAGTTACAAGAAATGAGATTCCAACTAAACACCAGGAATAACTTTCTGGCAGTTAGAGCTGCCTCCCTTGGAGGTTTTTAAGCACAGGGTGGATGTTCCATCTGCCATGGATGCTTTTGTTGTTGTTTAGTCCATAGCTGTCAATTTTCAGATTTGAAAATAAGGGATCAGCAGCCTCACCTGTCCCGGGGACAGTCTACGGAATATCTAACAATCCGGGATAGCAGCGGGGAAACGGTGCTGGAATAAGGGAATTTCCCGCAAAAAAGGGGAAGGTTGACAGCTATGGTTTAGTCGTGTCCGACTCTTCGTGACCCCCTGGACCAGAGCACGCCAGGCACTCCTGTCTTCCACTGCCTCTTGCAGTTTGGTCAAACTCAAGTTAGTAGCCTTGAGAACACTGTCCAACCATCTCGTCCTCTGTCGTCCCCATCTCCTTGTCCCCTTCTCCTCCATGGGACTCTCAAGAGTCTCCAACCTTTTTGAATCCATGGCTCCTACATTCTTTCTGTGGCACCCATGTGGGGCTCAGGAGCCCAGTTATATGACCCCTTGCCTGCAGAGCTGGCAGCCTCACACCGTTTTTTGAACACCCTCCATTGTGGAGTGTCCCCTTAGCCTCCTCTCCCCTCTCCCTCCGAGAGTGCAGCCGCAGCTGCCGCCCCTGATCTCTAAGCTGTCACTCCCTGTCCCAGAGGGACAGAGGCCAGTGTTGCCCACGGCCCCCCTGACTATCATTCAAGGCACCCCAGGGTGCTACGGCACACTGGAAGAAAACCACTGCTTTAGCTGATAATTCCTGCGTTGCAAAGGGTTGAATTAGATGACCTCCAGGGTCCATTCCATCTCTACAATTCTATTTATTTATTTAGTTCTAAAGTTAATTAACTTTAAGTAAAAGAACCTCCAGGGTGCCTTACATAAACACACCAGATTTGTGGCAAAAAACACACCCCAACAACAACCGGTGAGAAACAATTAACAAAGGATCGTGGGAAAAGAATGTTTAATTCTAATTATGCTTTAGCTGATAATTCCTACATGGCAGGGGGTTGGACTGGATCAAGGACACCCAAACTCAGCCCTCCAGCTGTTTTGAGACTACAACTCCCGTCACCCCTAGCTAACAGGACCAGTGGTCAGGGATGATGGGAATTGTAGTCCCAAAACATCTGGAGGGACGAGTTTGGGGATGCCTGGACTGGATGATCCTTGGAGTTCTACAATTGCAAAAAAAGAAGAAGTAAACATAAAAATTCTCAATAAAAGATGGATTTGAGAGCCGGAAATTTTATAAATATAAGCATGGGGATGAGGGAAGAAGCAGTCCTGGAGGCGCTGAATCACCTGCTGCTTTACTGCTGACTGAGAATAGCTGCTTGGCCTCAGTGCCAGGGGAAGGTGGCGCCACGGTGCCTTTAGCTGCAATTAGCTGCCCTGTTCTCCGTCAGCATTCGGGGAAGGCAGCACCTCGTGCCTCAGATAAGCAGGGTTATCATCGTGTGATATCAGTGGCACCTTGAAATCAGCTGGCCTGCTCTCCCTCATGCAAGGAGCGATATATTGCTGTGTATTGCCGGGTCAAAACCATTACAGTCATACCTCGGGTTACAGACGCTTTAGGTTGTGTTTTTTTGGGTTACGGACCACCGAAACCCAGAAGTACCGGAATGGGTTACTTCCGGGTTTCAGCGGTCGCGCATGCACAGAAGCGCCAAATTGCAACCCACGTGTGCGCAGGCATGGGTTGCGAACACTGCGGGTTGCGAACGTGCCTCCCGCACAGACATAGCTGTCAACGTTTCGCTTTTTTAAAGGGAAATTCCCTTATTCCGAATAAGATTCCTCGCAAGAAAAGTTGACAGCTATGCGCATGGAACACATTCGCAACCCGAGCATCTGCTCTGCCGCGGTGTGATTTTAGAACCGATTTTGGCCGTTATATTGAAAAAAAAATATCACACAGCAATAAAACAGACCATAGAATGTGCGATCTTACCATGCAAACATGACAGAAATTTAGTTGGGGGAGGCAAGGGATGCAGCTGTGGACCCCCTAGATGCATTCCTCAGACCCCCCAGGGGTCCCCAGACCCTTAATTGGGAACCACTGATCTAAGAGGTTTCCATCCCAATCCCAACTCTGATTTGTGCCAGTGCACAGACTATGGAGGACGCAGCCAAATGCTCTCTGATCTTCCCTCCTCCGGAATCGCGTTCTAATTGGAAATCAGTGTTTACTTAGGTAGCCACCCATTTAAGCAAAGAGGCCGAACCATCTCCCTTCCCGAAATTGATTTCCCCCCCATCTGATGCTTGTTCTTCAGCAAACTGTTACACAACTGGGGAAACAAAGGAGGCTGCAAAAGGCTGTCTGTGATTGCTTCACCTCACCTAGGTGACTGAACTCTTACCTCTTCCTTGCCCCCAAAGGTTATGTCCATTCGGACACCGGCAAAAAGTTTTGCAAAAGAAATTCTGTATGCCAGAGGTGACTGAAAGCCTTTCCCAGATGATTTTATATTTTTTTTTTTGGGGGGGGGGGAGCAGGAGAAAGCCTGAAAGTTTATTTTTAGCACCAAACAACAAAATATGTGAGTCCCATGTCGTGTGTGTTGGGAGAACAAGGTAAATGAGTACAGTGGTACCTCGGGTTACATACGCTTCAGGTTACATACGCTTCAGGTTGCAGACTCCGCTAACCCAGATATAGTACCTCGGGTTAAGAACTTTGCTTCAGGATGAGAACAGAAATCGTGCTCCGGCGGCACAGTGGCAGCAGGAGGCCCCATTAGCTAAAGTGGTGCTTCAGGTTAAGAACAGTTTCAGGTTAAGAACGGACCTCTGGAATGAATTAAGTACTTAACCCGAGGTACCACTGCACTGCAATGCTGCGGGGGGAAATGGGGCGAGGGAAAAAGAGAAGAATTCGCTGCATGAGGTGGTTCTGCAATAAAG